TTGTCCCCCTCCTTGTTTTTATATTATTTTTGCTTCCCTTCCTTTCTGTTCATCTGTTTTGTATCTTAAATTCTATGTATGTGCATTTTTAATAAGAAAATTGAAATATTATACACATACACACACGTTGTTTAATTTTGGAATTCTATGTTTACCTAAACACACATAATAACTCTCTTAATACCAAAATAGACATCATTATTTTTAACAGATGCTAAGAATTCTGGTATAGGGATGTGTTATAATTTAAGTGATCCCTTATTGAAGGCTATACAGATATATTTTACCTTTAACGATGCTAAGTTCCCAACAAGAAATTGGACATTTAAATCTTATGTTCAAATAGAAGACTTCTTCTCTAATAAATATCATATATAGATACAGACTAAAAGGTTTCTTAAGAGATTGTTAGTTTAAAAACAAATCAACTCAGGGGTGCCTGGGTGGCTTAGTTGGTTAGGCACTGGACTCTTGGTTTTCACTCAAATGAGTTCCAGCTTGGGATTTCCCCCACCCTCATACTCCTCCTTTGCTCTCTACCCCTCTGCTCACAGGCTGGTCTCTCTCTCAAATAAACAAACATTAAAATAAACAAACAAATAAATATCAACCAACTCATTTTGTTATTGTTGTCTAAACATATATTTATAATTCCAGCAGAATAATCTCAAATGGTAATTCTTGTTATTTTTTTTAAAGTTTATTTAATGAGAGAGAGAGCAGGGGATGGGCAGAGAGAGTGGACGACAGAGGATCTGAAGCAGGCTGCACACTGACAGCAGAGAGCCGAGGCTCAAACTCATAAACCTTGAGATCATTACCTGAGCCAAAGTCAGAGGTTTTACTGACTTAGCCACCCAGGTGCCCCTCAAATGGTAATTCTTCTAAATAAATAAATGTATACCCACATACACACAATGGGCAATAATTTCTAGAATGGTTGGAGTTAATGAAAAGTCCTTTAACGATTCCACATACATTTAAAAAAAAGTAGGCATATGCCAAATATAAGCATGCATCATAAACTAGCTGTATAATAACTGCTGAAGACTATTTTAACCAAATCATACTTCAGAATCATGGTTGCAACCTAGATAAAGTCACAAAATTGGAAATATAATGATTTTAACATTCTAAGGTTCTAGGTCTTTGAAAAACTATCTTTGCTATTTCAAAACTACTTTTGGAAAGCAAAGGGTATAAAAATATATAAAGGGCTATCAGGAAACTAAGTCCTATAGGAACACTAGACACTCAGCAGGCAGAACCAGCAAATGTAAAAGTCAATTGAGTCATTAGGGAAATGCAAATTAAAGTCACAATGAGATACTACCTAACATCCACTAAAATTGCCATAACAAGTGTCAGTGAGGATACTGAGAAATGTAACATTCACACACTGCTGGTGAGAATGAACAATGGCGCAGCAACTTTAGAAAACAGCTTGGCAATTTCTTTTTTTTTTTTTTGGCAATTTCTTAAAACATTAAACATAAACTTACCATGCAACCTAGTGGTTCCACTTCTAGGAATCTACCCAAGATAAATGAAAACATGTCCACACCGAGCCTCGGATGTGAATGTTCAAAGCAGCATTATTCACAATTGGCAGAGATGGGAAAACAACGCAAACGTCCAACAGGGAGTACTATCCAGCAATAAAAAGGAATAAGATACTGATACATCCTACGATATGAATAAGCTCCAAAAACATGAAAGTGAAAGAAGCCAGAAGCAAAAAACCACATACTGTGTAATTCATTTACATAAGATATCCAGAAAAAGCAGCAAGAGAAATTTCTAGCAACCATCAGCTTTTATTTAGTACCAATATATGCCAGTACTTACAGTTTAAAGGAAAAGCTTATGGGCAAACTTCAGTATCAGTGACTATCACCTTGTTTTATAATTCATAATTTTACCTGATGGAGTTTTAACTAAAGGAATATTTTAACAGTCATGAGTGCATCAGTGCTCAGGATTTGTCTACTTTATACCCATGTTAAATCTTTCTCTTGCTGCTTGAGTTTGGTCTATTCTAATTAGCAATTAGTATGTCCACTCAAGAGGAGCAAGGCAGGAAAACCTAATTGTCAAATTCTGTAGTATAACAAGTAGTGGTGATGGATGCTTAAATAACAAAATACTTAAAAATGTTTTAATGTTTATTTTTGAAAGAGAAAGGAGAGAGACAGACAGACAGACAGAGAGCGAGCGACAGCGAGAGAGAGCGACCAAGTACATAAGCAGGGGAAGGCAGAAAGAGGGAGGCACAGAATCCAGAGTAGGCTCCAGGCTCTGAGCTGTCAGCACAGAGGCCAACACGGGGCTCAAACTCACAAACCATGAGATATTGACCCGAACTGAAGTTGGACTCTTAAACTTACTTAGCCACCCAGGTGCCCCACTTTTTTAGACTATGTATTCCAGTGATCCGTGATAACCAAGACTTGGCAATAAAAAACAAGATTCATTCTAATTTCTCCCAGTTCCCTTAAGGAACTCAAAATATGTTACTGTGTTCCAAGGACTAGAGAAATAAGTCAGTAACAGACTGCCTACTGAAAGGATAGGCCTTTACGAAAGTTTATTTCCTTCTAAATTCTACATTTGTTTTGTCAATAAAATGACATTTTGTTTTTAGTACAGTATCCAGTGGCTTTCTGGTGATTACAGAGTTTTAAAGACCTCAAAGTATATCTGAATTGCAAGGTTACGAATCAAAAAAAGGAAAGAGGTTACAGAAGAGTGGAAAATATAAATGGATTTCCTGAGCCAAAACACTAACAAAATAGTACTTAGTCTAGGAAATAGCTATTTTGTAAAATAAAGTGTTTTCACGTATTATGCTTTTTTGTAAAACTGTGTAAAATAAAATGTTTTCACGTATTATGCTTTTTTGTAAAACTGGTTACTACTGTGCATTTTAAACCGTAACACTGAGATTCAACAAAAGATGAAGGAACCTTAAAACATACATTTTAACACTATGATTAGAAAACATAAGAAATGGTGCTAAAAAATAAAGTGAAATGAGCTTCCGTATCAACCTTAACTGCCAAACTGAAGACGACCTCAGGCATTCTGAGATGGAACACACAGCTCATGAGAGGAGCACAAAGGAATCCACTGAGTGTCTCTTAATTTACTTTTTGTTTCACCTTCTTTACATAATTGTCTTATAAGGCACACAACATATTACAAGTACATCATTTATAAGGAAATAAATGAGTACCAGGTTAGGTACTCAACGCTGTATTACTGTTAAGATGTGCCATCAAAAAAGAGTGGAAACCACTGTTCCAAAGAACAGACTGATTAGAGTTACTATCCTGTCACATTAGAGTTAAGTAGTCACATTTACTGTTACTCTGTGATAATTTTGTACTTAATGGAGCAGCTCAGATACTTTATAGAAATAATTATTACCAAGCGCAAACCTTTATAGTTAACAAAGTTAACACGTATGCTATCTCATGGAAAGTCCACTGCCACTCAGTATTATTATTATTAGTTGATCTAACATATCCAGTACCAGTTTCTTGAAAGTATTCACAAATACTAGTTGTATTTATTATTACTGTAAATAAATATTAGCTGTAAGGACGCCTGGGTGGCTCAGTCAGTTAAGCATCTGACTCTTGATTTGGGCTCAGGGCATGATCTCATGGTTCCTGAAATCAAACCCCGCTGTCAGAGCCTGCTTGGGATTCTCTCTCTTCCTCTCTCTCTGACTCCCCACCCCTCCCGCCCACCCCAGTGGCACGCATACACCTCTCGCACACATCTCTCTGAGGTCCCTCCCTCAAAACAAGTGAACGTTAAAAAAAAATAATAAACATTAGCTGTGAAGTTAATGAGAGGAGAAAATATTTTAAAGACTTCAAGGTTAATTTAATACACTGAAGCACAAATCTGTTTTAGAGAAGTTAGTCTTACACGCATACACACAAAAATTTAGAAACCACTCAGCAAGAATTCTATGAAAGGACAGTAACTCTCTATCCATTCCCCTGACAGCCCTTACCGCTTACCACCTTTATTCTTTATTTTTTAAAGACAAGGTTAGGGTCTTGTCAGCATAAACAAAGAAATGACCACCATCATTTGACTACCAGGGAATTAGTCAACAGGAGATTAAGGGTAGATTTAATAACGGACTCTAGATAGAGGTTCTACTTTATGGAGGACAATGACAAGATGTTTTACCAAAATCAAAACAAGAGGGTACGAGTTGAAGCTGCCTACTAATAAAATTACTATAGAAAACAAAATCACGAAGTTTTTCTGAGTGTGAAAATTCAGAGGAAAATTTAAGGACTTCTATCAAAAGGGATTTTTATAAACAGGATAGTTTCCTGTTAAATGAGATCAGCAAAGTAAGTGTACCAGGGATGCCTATAAGAGATCCCAAGTTTGATACCAGTTCTACAGAAGTATGTATCTGTGTATGCTGCTAACTCAACTTCACTAATCTGGTAGCACCACTCTTAATAAGTTAACACATTATTATTTACTTTAAACTTAAAGAAGCTCATTTCTTTTACTAAACTGAGGGGTTGAACGGGTTTGGTTATTGGAATGAATAATCCCCAGAATGAATAACAGCTAGTAAAATTTAGATCAGAAGTGTCGATGCAGGAGAGGAAGTCTCCGATGACTGCCACTGTCCAGCAAGTCTGTTATTTTGCTTTAAAGACATATACTAATTTATAGAACTGTTTTAAGTACCAAGGCAATGGGTACATTTATGTGATGATGAAATGCCTAAAAAGTTATAAACTGAAAGTTAAGATTAAAAAGTACAAAAAAAGATGGTTATTTTCCCAACTTGTTACAAAATGACAATTTTTTAAAGAGCTAAGGAAATCTGATATATTAGAATTCTAAGAACCAAAAATACGGAGGGCATATATTCAGGAATAACTCCCAACATGTTTCAAAGCTTTTGCTGTTTCAATACTCTGAACTGGGTAAGAAAGGTTTAATTCTGACATTACCCCTGGAGCAGACGGTAGGTTGGGTGACGGCCCTTCACTGCTCCCTGCAAGCTGGGTTAACCCGTTCGGATTTGAAGACTGTGTTGTAGGAAGCTGGGGACCGGATGCAGGTTGCTGAGATAATTCTACTCTGTGAGTCTTATTTGATCCACCCAATCTGCTACTTCTTTCCAGGGCAATCAGGTCACGAATTTTTTGCAGCTGCTCCACTGAAGCTTTTTTAGGAAAGATGAGATGTGTTTCTCCCTGGAATTTATAAAAACGGGAAAAATTTTAACTTTGGCTTCATACTGACAGTCCTTTAGATATAGATCTATAAAATGAAACCAATACTATAGAATACCTCAGATATTAACCATCATTGTATTTTTCTACCATTATAGCACTTCTTTAAAAAAACAGTCAAAGGTAAAAATGCCTATATGTAAACTAAGAAATTAAGAAAATTGGTCTCTTTCTTAGCATATAATGCTTAGCTTATTTGGTTGATTCAAAGGCCTTTAGGAAAGTATTTTCTTTAAGGAATAGTAAGTCACAAAGTCTTGTAAGAATTACAAAAACGTACATTCCTATCTTCTCTCCAGTAGATATATCACTACTATTCTCTGTGAAAGTCCCTATGAAGTAACAATAGTTCCTAGAGATGCAGCCATACAAAAGGATCAAGGGTCAACCAAGAAGTTATGAATCTCCTAAACCCAAAGACTTTAAAGAAAGCTGTATGACCAGCTGTCTGTATATAGGATCCACTAATTTTTCCAAGAAAACAAAAAGTATGCCCTGATGGTCAATTCAAAATTATGAATTGTTAGCGGTAAATACAAAGGTGGTCCAAACAAAACAATCAAACCATAAAAGTCCCATTCTTCAAGTACTGACTCATTTAATGAATACTCACAATATAATCAGAGTGCTTTAAGATACAATAAACATTACAACAAAGCCCACAATGTAAAACAGAAAATTACAAACAAGAAAAAAAGTTTAAGTGAAAATATATTCAATTAAATTTTAAGGCGCTGAGAAGCAACAGTGTTAAAACAGTAATTCCGCCAACTACATAGGAGATAAAAACAGTTGTTAACGTGTATTAATAAGACTTGAAGATTGTGAGCATTTCAGTTAAACTCCGTAACTGAGAATGATCTTATTTCCCTGGTGCTGGCAGACCTATGAGAATCAACTGACCAAGACATTTCTCATTAATGACATGAAAATTAATTCCATATGAATCCCTTTTAAAAAGCCAGAAGAGGCCAATAAACTCTATATATTCGTTACTCATAATAGTAATTGTTTGTTTGTAAAAACAAAACAATCATTTATTGTGTTTATGTGTTCTGGGTGCTGGACTAAGCATTTTACATATGTTATCTCAAGTAATTCTCACAACCACCCTGCAAGGTAGGTATTACATTTATCCCTACTCTTTATATGGAAATATGAAGACTCAGAATAGTTAAATAACCTGCCTGCTGCTACAGAACAATTGGTGGAGTGGGATTCAAACTTAAAAAATCTTAATTGTTATGCTATAATTGAGTCATCTCAGATTGAATAGAGACCAATAACCACAAGCTTGTACTAAGAGTTGGAAGCGTTGAACAAAAGAGAGTATTTTTATTCTGTGATGATTACATACATGATTAGCACAAATTGGATCACAATAAATTTCCAACATCAGAACCTCACATCTCTGATGAGGTCTGGGAAGAGAAACCAGACACCTAATTCAAAACCAAATACGGAGGTTTCCATTTCATACTGTCAGTGGAGCAGCACTGAGAAAGGTAGAAGACACTGCAGAGAGAGGTGGAAATACAGTATAATAGGTTTCTGGTTCCATGTTCAGTCCACACCTCAGAGAGGGCCCGAAAAGACAGAGATGCTATCTTCCCTTCCAACTTTTCAGGACCAGTCCCAAAAGAATGTATGATCACGGCCAAAGTGTCTGTACCAAAAAGTGTAATCAACGGCAGTGTATTTTCACGAAAGGACAAAATTACAGGCTTTGCACTAGATCCAGTAACATTTTATCAATGAGAATTCTGGTATTTAACAAAATCCATATTTCTTAACATATTTTTGCTAAGACAACTCTCCCTGCCAAATGTTAAGCAAAGCTGCCCCCTTCCTGCCCACTAAATGCTGGTTATATAGTCCAGTCACCATGACAACCAAAACTGCCCACCTCCTATGCACCTAGTGAGAACCACTCCACTCAGCAAGCCTGATGAGTCACACAGCCATGTGAATCCCAGTCTTTCTCAACCTCTTTCTCAGATTTTTCACAAAGAATTCAGTCTCAAAAGCAAGTAGGCCCCAAAGTGTCCAGGACTTTTAATATACAAAATATAACACTTGGGATTGGTCTGAGAGAGTCCTACTTCAGCTTAGAGCCTACAAAGTTTCTTTCTGAGGGTAGTGTTTAGTCGCGGTTCCACTGGTTCCTTTTGCAACTTAGTCACACTGATAACACACGGACTTCGGCTGGGTCCTGAGTGGGAAGGCCAAAGCCAATCAGAAACTTGAAGGATAAATTAGTCTGATCAAAACATGCAAATCTTTTCTGATACTGTGGTTCTATTTGGGTCAAATACTATGGCAGGCCTCAGCTTGTTACCTAGCACTCGTGACCAACCTCTGGGTCTGCCCGAGACGGATTTTCTAGGACGTGGGATTTTGAGTGCTAAACCCAGGACAGCCTCAGGCAAACTGGGACGGTTGGTCATCACACCCAGCACTCAAATATTTGTTGAATGAAAGACAAATATGACTCCACAGAATCTGTGACACCTCAAAAATGAGAAATTAGTAGTTTCCAGTTGTCATTTACTAACTTTTCCTGTCATTTGACTAAAAAATCTGTACTTCCTTGAATAAAATCAGCTATGTTCTCAACTTTCCCTCTACACTTTTAAATTCTTTATGTTCAGATGTCTGTGAGTAACTACAAGCAGATACCGCCACAATTTATACTTCTGGCCTAACCTCTCCTTTCGAGTTACAGACTTATGTCCAATTGCATACTTGCTATGTTTAACAGTATAATAGTTAGAGTTATCCAAAAGATAGGTAGTCTTTTCTCCCAATATCTGCTATACTCCAAGATTTCTCAATCTGAATGGTACTTGCATCCACATAGGTGCTCAAACCAAAACCTAAAAGTATCCTTCAACCCTTTCCCGTGTACCCCACATCTGGTTCAACAGCAAGTCCTACAGACTCTGCTTCAAAAAAGAATTCTGGATGCCTCTACCTTACCCCCATCCCCATCTCCACTGCTATCAGCCTTTAATCCAACATATGTTTACTGAGTGCCTCAATGTACCAGCAATATATTCTAGGAGCTAGCAACATAGGGAAGAAAAAGACAAAAGGGTCTGCCTTCATGGAACTTATACAAACTATTACTGTTTCGCCCTCAGGCTGATAAACGCTTTTTAACTGGTCCTCCCCACTTCACCCCTTGCCTCCATCCCAGAACATCCAGAACATTCCCTTTACAACAGCTAGAATAACCTTTTAAATATCCTTCCCCGCCTAAAAACTTTCTGTGGTTTCCCATTTCACTTAGAATGAAATCCAAGTCTTTACCACAGTCTTCAAAACACATGCCCTGGCTTCTTGCCTGTCTGTGCAGCTACTTTCTGTGCCAAAGCTACTCCTGCTGGCAGTGCTTTGGACATGTGAATCATCTGAGTACTCTGACTTGAGGGCATCAGGTACCTGAAATACTTCTTTTCACTTAGGTCCCAGCTCAAATATTATCTCCCTAGAGGCCTTCCCTGACCACTCATCCATACATAGCTGCCTGCCTCTATAGTTGCTTTGTGTTATATCTCTACGCCCTATTTTCTTCTTTGCACTCATCTTTGCTTTCATGTCTACTTTTTGTCTAACTTACTAGAATCCGAGCTCCACGTGAGATGGGATCTATTTCTCTAGTTCACTACTATACTCTCCAGGGCCTGGAACAGAATCTGGGGAGAAAAGCAGAGAGGCAGAAAGGAAAGTACTTATGGCAACTCAGCATATCGCTTTAACAATTCCTAGAGCCTTGCCAATTCTGCCTGCTGTGGACTACCAAGTTTCCATAACCCAGTTCTACTTCTTTCAGTATTCCATAAACTAGAAATGGTTAGGCATATATACACACAGAAAATTCATGATGTTGATAACTACTTTCATTGTGTCACAAACTATGCTACAGATTCCAGAGGATGAAAACACCAAACTTCTACTTTGACCTAAAATCAAAAAAGTATACTGAGATTCTTCTCTATCACAGAAGAAATCCCTTAACAAGTGGTAACTAAACGCAGCTTTGTCTCTACTCTTCTCATTTCTTACCGGAGACAAGTGGTTATTAGACCCTATTCGTATTCATGGTTGCTCACAAAGCAGGGTTTTGCCTAAAGTCTAAAGTGACCCACAATGTGGTCTTTGGGTTGTATACCTGATCTCTCTGTTCTAAAGGATTAAGGGAGAGTTGTTATATTTTATTGTGATTTTAAAGCATATTTACTGTGACTTTAAAAGTCATTTAAAATGTCTAATAGATGAAAAACACTAGCTGCAGAGATTTCCAAAATGATCAATTAATTTAAAAAAATGTTATCTTATTTAATTATCCATCAACACTATAACAAATTCTTTGTACATGAATTGGGGAAAAGAAACCCTTCAACATACTTACCTCTTCAAAGCCCATTTCAAATAAACATTCAACGGCTCCTCTGACAGGTAAGAGTCTAGTAGAAAAAGCTGTGTTTCCAATCCGGATAGATCTATATTTTTCATCATTAGGGTTTCTGATTTAAATAAAAAAAGTTTGATTATATATAACATTTTATACTTTGCACAGTGCTTTTGCACTCCTTTTCACACTTTATATTGGCTATACTGTTACAAGGTAGTACAGATCCCAGCTTTACAGAAAGAGGAAACACAGTCTGGAAAAACAGTCTGATTTTGTGATTCTTACCTCAATACACATTTACTACTAGCTTACTGTTTAATTTCACAGCTGATAATATTAGTGCTTCCATAATAGAAATGCATGTGACTTTAATTCTATGTTATTAAAGCTATATACTTTTATGAGTTTTTAGGTTTCTAAGAAAAAAAATCCACATATGCTCTAGACATAGGGGCATAAGGTTTTGCTTATTTTGTTCTGATGGATCTCAATCAAGAATGGTGCTTGATGTACACATGGTGGTTAGTAAAGACTTGTAAATGAGACTTGTAAATGAATGAATAAAAGAAACAAAAAACTATATAAAAATGTATCACAGTTCCTCCATGATTTTACTTCTGAAAAATATAAACCCAAGTACACCTTGATTTTCTTTCTTCTCTAGACCAGTCACTGTTTTTACTCTATGTTCTGCTTTGGCTCAAGATATATTTTTGTCACAGCCAAATTTTTTTTATGGTGATTAAGATTCTGAATAGCATACATGGGATGAGACCAGCATATGAAAAGCTTTGAGATTTTTAATAACGATAAAACAGAAATGCTATTTTAAAAAATCAGAATAAAAATACAAGGTTAAGATAATCACAATTATTATACTCAAGACCACTAGAACATAATTTAGGATGATAAGTAGATTTCATATCTGAAACAAACTCCCTTCCAATGGGAATGGCTTTCATTACTATTTTAAGAAGGATTCTGAGGGTGTGTCAGGGATCTCTGGGAAGGAGTGAGGCCATCTGCCTGGACTATGGAATGGGAGTGGCTGACAAATGCTTGCAACTATTAACTCATTAATCATTTGTGTCCTAATTTAATTGTGGAAGTTTCCACATATTTCACATTTGTTTTCCATTGAGCAACCCCCTATTGCCAAATTGTCATAAATACATGAATCTTTTTAAAACTTTTCCTTAATTTCCAAAATTATACAAGTTTATTACAGAATATTCAGAGACAAAGCTCTAAAATAGTGTTATTCAAAATGTCCACAGACTGATGCCAATCTACAAATTCCCTGCTACTCATTCATGAGAAGTGCAGAAACTGAGAGTACTCAGCAATTTTTACAACAATTTGATGTGCTATGAAATTATTGTATTTTACAAAAGGTAAAATTTATAGGTCCACCAAATACTGGAAATTAAAAACAAAAACACTGTTCTTCACCTCAGGTCATCTGAGCATCACAGGTATTTGAAGAAACACAAAGAAAAAAATGTGTGTTCTGCTCTTTCATTCTGTGTATTAAATGAGTTTCTCAACCTTGGCATTGACATTGGAGGTCTTTGTCCATAGGAGGCTGCCTGGCCCACAGCAAGATATTTAGCATCTCTGCCTTTTATGCCACACCATCATAAGTGTGCCTCCCTTTCTTACCACTTAAAACAAAAAAACATTAAACTATACAATAACCCTACATTTACCAAGGCTATTTACAGATAAATGAAGCATCTTTTCATGACATTCAACACATTTCACAAGGTTATAAACACATCAGTACAATCATTATGATAAAACCTACTGGTGCTTGAGGTAACAACCTCAAAACATTGTTTGTTTTACCTATTTTTTCCCCAATAGCTTCCAGATTTTTACATGATCAAAGTCTTTCACTAGCCTTAATTTTCTAGTTTTTCTTCCCTCTTTTGCCACTATTTAAAAAATTCTTACAAAATATTAGTTGATCTGATACATGTTTCAAAGTAAGTATTGTGATACATGTATTTTGATACAGTTTTCAAAATAACTGTTGATACAGCTTTTCTGCTATAGTCTATTTCCCATCTTTTTACATCTATGGGCTTCACATACCATTTATGTATTTTTCTCACTAAAAACATAATGCAAACAAAAACAAACAAAAAACCCAACAGTAATGTCCAGTTACCCAAATCCTGTCTATCTCTTTTACAATATGTTGAGCACACCAGCCATAGTCTTGAACATAAAATGGTGCCAAAAGTTCATCCTGAAGCCCTCAAAGGCTTAGAGAACTTGGCCACAAAGCCATTAGGCCTCAAATCCATAAGGTCCTATTTCCTACCCTTGGAAAAGTACCACACAGACCCTTTCCAAACCTCTGGCTTTACAGCATCATCACAGTGCATCCACTATCCTTGAACTCATTAGTACTCTCCTTATCTTGCAGTGTCTAAAATACCCCTAAGGATCACTTCATTTTTGCTTCATCATCTTCTTCCATTAATTAATCTGCAGACTTTCCTCAAATATTTTTTGCTATAATTTTTCAATGTGTTTTTTCTGCCTCTGCTGACTCAACTATTTCTGCAACTGGTAATATTTACCTTGCTTATTAGCAATAATTTTGCACATTCACCCGAGGTGCTTAGTTTTTTGCTGGATGCTCTTGGAGGAATGACAGGGCCTTGAGAGGGCAACAAAATTTCATGCACTTCATTCACTGTGACTTTGAACATATTTCGGTATCTTCCTAGTTGTCTTATCCCCACGTATCTACAAAATTGTTTAATCTATAGAATATTAGTCTTTATTTTTACAACTGAATGGTAGATAAAAGTCATGCTTTTTACCTATCTAGCATATATTTAGGATCTTAAGACATGTTAACAATAAGCTTCCCACTGAGGTCACAGACTCAGAAAAAAGAAAAACTTAAATGCTTCTATTTTAGAACTTCAGAAATGCTGAGAATTAAACATAGCTGACCATTTACTAGCCCTCTTCTTCTTTAGAATGAATAATCCCAGAAATGGTTTACATAAATGGAAACTCAGTATATGAGAGATCCTATAATCTTGTATTTTTATTACTAATCACAACAGTTGGTTTGTAGGCCATTTAAAAAATATTTCTAGTCCTTTTGTAAATCAAAATAATAATTCTGGGATATATGTAAATTTTGTTTAAAAAAATTTTTAATGTTTATTTTTGATAGAGACAGGGAGAGAGAGAGAGGTTAGGCGTGCACACACACAAATGAGGGAAGGGCAGTGAAGAGGGGAACAGAGAATCCAAAGCAGGCTCCAGGCTCTGAGCTGTCAGCACAGAGCCCAATGTGGGGCTCGAACTCACAAACTGTGAGATCATGACCTGAGCCGAAGTCGGACGCTTAACCCACTGAGCCACCCAGGTGCCCCTATACATGTATATTTTTCAAAAACATCTATCTGCCTTCTCTGGCCGTCTACCATTCTATGCAGCTGACAATAAGGTAAATATACACATAATGTGGCTTGTTCAGGGTGAAAAATTGAAGAATGGTAACAAAAAAACATATGTGCCTTTATTTCTCTTTTGCAAGAATCCTATAAAGCATTTTTTTCTTTCCTCTTAAAAATGAGGAAACCAAAAAAAAAAAAAATGAGGAAACTTAAGTCCAGAGACTTTACATAAATTGCCTATAACCACTCTTTTAGGAAATGGTTGACTGGGATTTAAAAACACTGGTCTAATTACAAAGTTTATAGACTCTTCACCATACAATACACCAACAAACTCACCAATCCTCAGTTAACCACCCTCTTTAGATTTCTCCAGTTGTCAATAGTAACCTAGATTAGAAATCTGAAGTTATTTGGGTTATTTTGTCTCCTTCCATTACCAGTTCTATTCCTCACATTCAGTCATCAAGAACTACCAATCCCTGCCTCCAACAGTTCTCTCTCCATTCTCTCCCCACTCATGCTTATGAGTACTGTACTAGCTTTCACAAGTGAAACCCATTCCTTGTGTCCTCTTACATCATTATTCTACATTAAACTCCTTCACTATGTTTCTCTTTGACTCTATAAAGTACAATCACTTTCTCCTGTCTCATGTCAAATACATGTTCTCTGCTATTCCATCAACCTGTCTCATCTTACCAAACCTCTGTTCTCAAAACTCTTCCACACTAGGTCCCCCTGCTATCTCCAGACATAAACATGTAACTCCTTGAACACTGTCTTGCAATTAATTGTTCTCTAGATTTTACACTGTGGCTGTTTTCCATACTAGTGTCTTCCTCCTAAACATATTTATTTTCATGGAAAGAATAAACCACTTTCCATTCTTGGCCCTTCTCAATCACAGGCAGTTTAATTTGTAACCAATAACCGTGTGCAGTTTGCAAAGAAAATTAGTAGAACATCAAACATATTTTTTAGAGAATAAATGGAGCAAATTATCTCAGGAACACATGTGGAATGCTAGCCAAACTATTACAGAGTTTGATAAACAGATATTGAGTACAGCTCATCTTTATCTAGAAGTCAGTGAACTGAAAAAAAAGTAAAAGGTTCAAACCCATGGCATATTGTGCAAGCAAATTAGCTTATATTTTATTCTGTAATTTCATTAAATTTATGACTCTTAGTTGGGGGACAAGTTAACATCACCTGAAGCAGAAATGTGAAACGTAACCAAAACTATTATCTTCACTTGAGTGTAGTGACAAGTACTGCTGTTTATAAAAAATTAAACAAACAAAAAACAACTACTAATGAAATTCTCTTTCAGCACTTGTTTCATAAAACACTACGTCAAACACTGAGGCAGGAATAAGATATAAAGACAACAACCCTGACCCAGTCTCTTCTCTCTAACACTAATGGGTTTCCGCAAACAGCAAAAGGGACAGAAAACTTTGGTTTTCTCCACTCTCAAATAAGTGAGACAAGCAGATGTGTAAAGTAATGTAGTTAGAGTAACCTAGATTAGAAATCTCTGAAGAAGAGATCGGTATATTTTCTATTAAGAAGTTAACAAAGTCAAGGACTTAGAAATGGAAGACAGAATGTTTTTTAACTTCCTGAAGCAAAAAGGAGTTTTAATTCAAAGAAAATGAGAGCAGGGATTAATACTATTACATGCGTATCCCAGAGATATTATAGGTTTGTATCTAGACCGGTGTAGTACAGTGAAAATTGCAGTAAACCAAGTCAAATGAATTCTTAAAACTTCCCACTGCATATAAAAGTTATGTTTATACTATGTTGTACTCTATTATATGTGTAGTAGCATTATGTTTAAAAAACTGTACATACCTTAATTAAATAATACTTTATTGCTAAAAAATGTTATCATATGAACTTTCTATAGTTGTAGTCTTTTTGATGCTGTAAGGTTTGCCTCGATGTTGATGGATGCTAAGTACTGATGGAGCTGTGGCAATTTCTTAAAATGAGACAATGAAGTTTACCACATCCATAGACTCTTCCTTTCATGAATAATTTCTCTGTACCATGTGTTGCTGCTTGATAAAACATCTTTCAAAACTAGAGTCAATCCCCTCAAACCCCGACACTGTTTTATCAGCAAAGTTTGCTGATATTCTAAATTCTTTGTTGTCATTTCAACAATCTTCACAGCATCTACATTAGGAGGTTCCAGCTCAAGAAACCATTTCCTTTGCTCATTCATAAAAGTCTTCTTTTTAAAGTTTATTTATGTATTTATTTTGAGAGAAAGAGAAAGAGTAGGGGAGGGGCAGAGAGAGGGAAAGAATTCCAAGCAGGTTCTGCACTGTCTGTGCAGAGCCTGACGCAGGGCTCCATCTCACGAACCCCGAGATCACAGCCTGAACTGAAATCAAGAGTCAGCCGCTTAACCAACTGAGCCACCCAGGTGCCCCATTTATCCATAAAAGTTTTATCATGAGATTGCAACTACATCTTCAGGCTCTACTTCTAATTCTCTTGCTATTTCCACTATATCTGCAGCTATTTTCTCCACTGAGGTCTTGAATCCCTCAAAATATCCATGAGGGTTGAAATCAACTTCTGCCAAACTCCTATTAAAGTTGACATTTTGACCTCCTTCAAATGTTAATTGCATCTTGAATGGTGAATCCTTTCTAGGTTTTCAACTTTGCCCAGATCCATCAGAGGAATCATGATCTACTGCAGCTACAGCTTTACAAAATGTAGTTGTTACAATAAAACAATTTGAAAGTCAAAACGACTCCTTGATCCATGGGCTGCAGAAGAGATGTGTTAGCAGGTATGAAAACAACATTACGGCACTGTGCATTTCTATCGGGGCTCTTGGGTGACCAGGTGCATTGTCACTGAGCAATGGTATTTTGAAAGGAATCTTTTTTTCTGAGGTTTCAACCGTGGCCTTAAATATTCAATAAATCACATAGTAAAGAGACGTGCTCTCATCCAGGCTTTGTTTTTCCACTGAGAATTTTCAGAAATGTTAATAAGCATTGGCTTCAATTTAAAATCACCAGCTGTGTTAGCCCCTAACAAGAGAGTCAACTTGTCCTTTGAAGCCAGACATCAACTTCTTTCTAGCTATGAAGTCCTAGACGACATTTTCTTCCAATAGAAAGCTGTTTTGTCTATGTTGAAAAATCTGTTGTTTACTATAGCCATCTTCATGAATTATATTAGATAGTTCTGGATAACTCTCTGCAACTTTTCATCATTTGCTGCTTCACCTTACACTTTTGTGTTATAGAAACAACTTCCTTCCTTTAACCTCATGAACCAACCTCTGCTAGCCTGAAACTTTTCTTCTTCAACTTCATCACCTCTCTCAGCCTTCAGAGAACTGAAGATTTAAGACCTTGCTCTGGATTAGGCTTTGGTTTTTAAGGGAATGTTATAGCTGTCTTGATCTTCTATCTAGACCATTAAAACGTCCTCTATTAGCAGCAAAAAGGCTGTTTTGCTTTCTCATCATTTGTATGTTTACTTGAATGGTACTTTTAATCTCCTTCAAGAACGTTTCCTTTACATTTGCAACTTGGCTTTTTGGTACAATTAGGCCTAACTTTTGGCCTAGCTTGGATTTTGACACAGCTTCCTCACTAAACTGAATTACTTCTAGCTTTTGATTTAAAGTGAGAGATGTATATCCCTTCCTTTCACTTGAACATTTAGGCCATTACAGGGTTATTAACCAGTCTAATTTCACTCATTATTGTGTCTCAGGAAACAGGGAAGCCTACGAAAGGAGAGGGGACAGAAGGGCCAATGGGTGGAGCAATCAGAACACACTTACACATTAAGCTTGCCATCTGATGTAGATACAGTTGGTGCACCCACCAAAATTACAATAGTAACATCAATGATCACTGATCACAGGATAAAGAAGATATGGTATACACACGCATACACATGTGCGCATGCACATACACACACATACACACAACACACACACACAATGGAAATATTACTCAGCCATAAAAAAGAATTAAGATCTTGCCATGTGACAACTTGGATCTAAAAAAGCAAAACAAACGAAAAAACAGAAACAAACACATAAATACGGAGAACAAATGATGGTTGTGGGGGGGGGAGTGTGGGATGGGCAAAGTGGGTGAAGGGGAGTGGGAGATACAGGGTTCGGGTTATGGAATAAAGAAGTCACGGCAGCAGGGGGCACCTGGCTGGCTCAGTCAGAAGAGCACGTGACTCGATCTCGGGCTTGTGAGTTTGAGCCCCACAGTCAATGGCTGTGTTAATACAGCTTTATAATAGCTTTGTATGATGACAGATGGTTGCTACACTTGGGAGCATAGCATAATGTACAAACTTGGGGAATCCCTATGATGTACTACTGAAACTAATGTAACATTCTGTGTTAACTATATTTCAATTAAATAAAAGCACTCAGGGCTCCTGGGTGCTCAGTTCATTAAGCATCCAACTTTGTTTCAGCCCAGGTCTCATGATCTCATAGTTCATGAGTACAAGCCCCGCACCAGGCTCTGCTCCGATAGTGTGGAGCCTGCTAAGGATTCTCATTCTCTCTCTCTCATTCTCTCTTTCTCTCTGCCTCTCCCTTGCTTGCTTGCTCGCTCTCTCAAAATAAATAAACTTAAAAAAATTAAAGAACTCATTGATCACAGATCACCGTAACAAATGATGAAAAAGTCTGAAATACTACAATTAGCAAAATGTAACCCAAAGATACAAAGTGAGGAAATGCTATTGGAAAGACGGCACTGACAGACTTGCTCAACACCATAAACCCTGAATTTGTGAAAAACACAGTTATTTGTAAAGCACAATAAAATGAAGCACAATAAAACAAAGTGTGCCTGTGCTTAAACTAAACAGGGTAGTTTTTCATACCATTTCCAACGATCAGTTCCGACCTCGAATTCCCTTTCTAGATAAAACTTTTTAAGATCAGAAACATAAGCCAGAGTAAAAACTGTAATATGAACTGACAGCATGCCAAGCTTCTTCTAGGAGTTTGATAAATATTCACAGTGGTGATTACGCCAAGTTATTATTTGCATACAGAGGTTTTCCTTCCTCAACACATCTTGGTCTTAGCATTCTGGGTTTCACTAGATTAAAAGCAGAAGTGAATCATATTACAAGGCCACTTCCTTTTTCTGAATAATGGGATTTAAATAGTTTGATGGCTTTCCAGGTTGGAGGTCCCGGCTGAAAAAATCTGGAGGACTTAGTTTATGAGTTCATTCGTGCAGATTCCACTGGCATCCTCATGCTTTGAAGAGTGGTTAGACCTCACAGGGGAGAGGTGAGCTGAGGAAGGTGTCACAGAGGAGAAAGGCAGTCCCCCACATAGGTCACAATTGTGTAGCTGTGGACACTACCCATGCTGTATCCCTTATAGCATTTGGCAAATAATAAAGGCTCATTTTCCCTTCAATTTACTTTTAAAATCCTTAATGTTACCTATATAAACAATATATTGCCATGAACAATGAACTGCCATGGGTTAAAACACTACACTTGTAACTAAGGTCTCTAAGACTGGGTCACATCAAATCTATAACCTTCAAACTAAGAAGAATTTCCTTTTAGACTTCATGCCGATATACCCGCCACTCAGCAGAACATGTGCACCAGGGGGTGAGGTGGGAAGGAGCGCCTAGACAGTAATCACGGTGATCTGATAAATGAAGCAACACCACTCGAGTATCTGCACGTAGAACCACTTTAACCTCGGTCCTATGTCCCTCCCCCACACATCACATTCCTCAAGACACTACATGAATTGATCTACGAACTGATAACGATTCACAATGAATAATCAAACTTGCCTCCCAATTCCCCAAATCTGTAAGGGTCCCTTAAGGATCGATCTACAAGTGTACTTCAGTACGAAGATGAAACTAGTTAGGTTAGTTGCCAAGGTAATCTTCACTAATTCTCATTTAAAAGATCATGTTGAAAAGTAGACTACAAGTATAATACAAATATTGTAACTTTAAAGTAACATGATTACTATGTCAATCAACAAAAGCGGACAGGAAAAGACCATAAAAAAATGTAAAAACTCCACCCTTTCGGCTAGCATTATGCTTTAATATTAAAATATTCCCAAAATGTTGGGGGGCGGGGATTTTGTCGGAGACTAACTTCTCATAAGCCTGCGGCAATTTAAGGCACTAGGGTGAAACCCACGCAGCGCGGATGAGACGCTGTTACCTGTGCTGACACTCAGTTAAACAACTCGATCCCGGCAAGCCTTCTCACTTCCCTGCGCCCTGCGCTACCCGCCCCACCTCCAGTTCGTAGCGCACCACCTCCAGTTCACACCCGGGCACCCCCACATCAGGTGCCAAGTCCCAACTGCAAAAGAAACTTACTCTCCTCTGGACACAGTGGCCTGGCCAGGTCTCCAGGCCCTTGGCCAGCGGGCTCAGGCCCCCGGTCCTTCCTGGCCTCGCCGCCCTTCGGGGCCCCGGCCCGGCGCCCCCAAACCTGCGCCAAGCAGGCGCCCCTCACCGCCCGCCCCGGCGCCCCGTCCCACCACGCAGCCCCGCACCTGAGGATGTTGTCCGCGTAAGTGAGCAACAGCTTGGAGGCCTCCAGAAAGGTCTCCGGCGTGTTCTGGCACAGCTCGGCCACAGCTGGGGACGCAGAGCCCGAGGAGCTGCCCAACGCGGCTGCCGCCATGCTTGAGCGCCCGCGGCCGTCGCCGCCCCTCGCGCGCAGCGTCCCGCACTGAGCAGGCGCCACGGCGCGCGGCCTCTTCTGCGCCTGGCCGGGAAGGGCGGGGCGCTCGGCCGGGAGGGGGAGGGGGCGGGGGTGGGGGGGCGCGGCGGGGAGGGGGCAGCGGGCGGCGAGGGGGCAGCGGGCGGGGGGCGGCGCGGCGGGGAGGGGGCAGCGGGCGGGGGGCGGCGCGGCGGCGAGGGGGAGGGGGCGGCGCGCCGCGGCGAGGGATGGGGGCGGCCTCAACGCGGCGGGCTGTGAGCGGTTCCGGGAAGGTCAAGGCTTTGGAACTGGAGGGACTGGGGCGTTGTTGCCGGGGCCTGGGGGCTTCAATGAGAAACTGGGGGCGGGGTGCTTTGGGCTTCAGGGCACTGGCGCTTCGGGTAGGAGTGGCCCAGGGAGCGGGTGTTGGCTTGTGCTGGCCGATGTGTCGCATAATCCCGGGTCCTTCCGCGCCCCACAGTAGGTTTCGATTGAGCCACCAAGGTGGGTAATCCCCTATACGTACAACTAGGCCTTTTCCCCCAAAACGAAAATCATCTCACCGCTTCCTCCTGTCAGAGGCCGGGCATTCCTAGATACGTAAGAATGAAAGACCTCAAGGAAGTAGCAACAAATGTTCTAAACCTAATAAGTGGCTATAAACTCTGCTGGGTTTCTGGTATATAGATTCGTTTTAGAATTAGATGAATGATTGAAAATCATTTTTCATAAGTAGCAGCTCAAAGAGTATGATGTTCTGTAAACTTTCTAAAACGCAGGTTCAACGTAGTGAGTTGTAGGCTCTATTTACCGTGCGGTGACCAGTATAAAACACATATACAATACGCATACACAAAAACACCTAATGCAATAACGACAAAAGAGAATAGAATAAAATGGGGGAGGGGGAGAGACACTAAAAATAGGAATCTTATATAGTGTGGGTAGGTATTGTGAGTTTGTTTTGCAGGTAGATCATGTGATTAATTTCCTTTATTCCTTTTAGAAGATAGTCTTAACTTATTTAATCCGTTCTCTGACTCACCATGTCCTTGAAAGTGTACTTTACCAATGGCCTCCTTCTTTGCAGATATACATTTCCAAACCTCAACAAATATTTGCCTTGACGTTATGTGTTTAAGGTAAGTTATTTGCATAAGTAGCTTCTTTAAATGCTTGATGCTTATCTTCTGTTTGCTTTTTAAATTTGAAGTTCTCTTCCAATACTTCTGAGCAAGACCTTGAGTTATGCTATCTGCTTCAATTACCATTCACCTGCTAGATATGTGGAAAAGTTTTTAATAAATATGTAGGTTTTTGGACCAGCTTCCTGGACTCGTGTGTTTAACTGAACTGATAGTATGTTCCTAGCAGCTGTAACTAAAATTTTCAGTGACCTAACACAAGAGAAATGTCTTTCTTGCTCACAGAACAGTTATAAATCAAGTGACTTTAGTGAATGGGCAGCTTTCCTCCATGTAATAATGATTTGGACTCTCAGGCTCCTGTAGAATAGAGGTCAACAAACTTTTTTGTAAAGGGCCAGACTGTAAAAGCTTAAGGCTTTGTGGCCTTAGGGTCTCTTAGGGTCCCTGTTTTCAACTCTTTAATTCTGTCTCTGCACTTGTAGTTCTATGGACAATACTCTAAATGGGCATGAAACTCTCTACAAAAACAGCCTCCTGGATTGGGCCTATAGTTTGCTATTCCTGGCCTATAGTTTGCTATTCCTGCCATAGGGCGTCAGAGACTTCTGTATTTAGTTAGAATTTGGGCAAAAAAGAAGGCACACCTGCTTCTTAACCACATGGGCCCAAAAGGACAGTAAAACCTTGGTTTGCAAGCATAATCCCTTCCCAAACATGCCTGTGATCCAAAGCACTTGTGTATCAAAGCAAATTTCCCCCTAAGAAATAATGGTAACTCAGATCATTTGTTCCACAACCCAAAAATAGTCTGTAATCTAATATAAAATAATAAAGAATATGTAAAAGATAAAGAAAAATAAATTTATTTCAAAGCACTTACCTTTGAAAACCTTCATGGCTGGTGTGAAGGAGACGAGATGGAAGGTTATTGTGTAGGACAACTTTCACTGTAACAGAATCACTGCTAATCTATTGGCTCAATGGAATCTTTTCTTTTCATGCAACTTTAACAAGAGACCTTTCCAATGACACTTGCTTTTGCCTCCTTTTGAGGATTTCATGGAAATCTGATATTGCGTTGTCATTAAGCAGATTCATTGCTCTCACTGCTACAGCCTTCTTCAGGTGGTGCTTTTCTGCAAAATTTTTCACTGTTTCCTACATTTTACACATCTCCCTATTCTCATTTGAAGTGGGGGATTCCTTTGCCTTTTCTCCTTCTGCAGAGGAGATCACCTCCATAACCTCTTGCTGTTGATTGCAATGCAGAGCCATCAGTTTGTTGGTGGTCATCATGGCTTGAGACTAAGCATGGGAGATGATCACCCACAATCCCAGAGAGAGAGAGAGATAGAGAGGGACAGAGAGAGAGGAGAACCAGTTGTGATCATGTGACTGTGTCATGTACTCCTATTGCATATTTGTAAGACATCGCTCTTTTATAGTTAAAAGTGATTAGAAATGTTTTCCCATCTTGCGGAACACTCACAGAACAAGTTACTCAAAACCCAAGGTTTTACCAATATAGCATTTTCTCTACCATATAATTGAGAAAATGAAGCCCCACCTAGATAAAAGAGGGAAGGCTGGGAAATTTAGTCCCCAGCTGGACATGTAGCACCCACCACTCTAAAGGATGGAAGGTGCAGAGAGGGGGGCCTGGAGTTGTAACTACCTGTCTCTACCACAGACTATAGTCACCTTATTTTGAGGTGTTTTTTTCACATTTATTTATCCTTATAATAGTATAAGATGACTACATACTGTATAGTATTTTTTTTTTTCAAATAAATTCTTGGGAGGAAACCCTATATATATAAAAAACACCAAAGTGGAGATGCTCTAGAATTGAAGCAAGAGAGTGTGGGCAGCAGGAAGGATAAAATTAGCTTGCCCTTTGACGGAGAAAATGGCCATCAGGCATCTTTATGGGGAACATGCAAACGGTGTGAAAACCAACACCATGAAGTTAATACTGTGATAATAATGCCTGGTCTAGAAAATCCTAGAAATCATCATTTCAAGGGTAATACGGTAAGTTATTGTTTATTTTAGATCACCTGAAACTAAAATCCTTCCAAATTACTGTTTACCAGTATTCCTGCTGAAGTTCTTGAGTAACTACAATCTCTCTTGGTTACTACTATTTATGAGACTGTTAAGAGAATTTATTATAAAGGACTCTGACTTATTTTGCCCATCTGCTTTTTCCACTAAGTCAAGTTGAACATATTTAGAGTTTTCAGTTTCTTTAGAAAAGTTGAAGATAGTAAGCTACTCTTAATCTCTTTATACTCCCCATCACTTCACACAACTAATGGATGTTCCAGTATTAAATCAACATGAACTTTCTATTCTTTTATTTGGCTTATTTTTTTCTCCAAATAATGATTTTTTTTTCAGGATTCCTGCTTTATTAAGTACACCATTGTTAGAGTTGACACATGGTGGCACTATTCTTAAATAGAATAGAAAAAGAAATAGCCCATTAAATTTCCCCACGGTCAGTTTTGGCATAAAAAGGAAAACATTGACCTCAATAAAAACTATAGCACAGAAAGGGGTTGAAGCCTTTCAGGAATTGGTGTGGTGATTCATTACTGTGTGATTGCATTAAATGATTACCTGACAACTATTTATTGAGCACCTGTTGTGTAGAAAGCAGTCTGAGATGGAGGACATAAGAGATTTTTAACCTAGTAGGAAAGACAAACAAATGATAATATCTTACATACAGACAACCCCTGAGCGGATGAAACAAAAAAAGGTTACCGTGAAAAGAAAAAAGTCGTTTGCTAAAAAACACAAATCAGTGCATATATACTAACCACTAGAAGTGTATGTGTTCATTCATTTCGTAATTCAGTCACTCATCAAATATTTATGAAGTGGCTACTAAATCCCAGACACTATGTTAGGGTCTGTGAAGCAGTGAAGTAGATGAGCATGAGCCCTGCTTTCATGGAAGTCCCAATGAGTTTACAGCAGTGGTTACAGCAGTGGTTACCACATCACCGGCCAGGAATGTGGCACTAGATCATATTACAGCTATTGGACTATCATAGAAATTCCTAACCCTTTCCAAACCAAAGGAAAAGAGACAAGAGGTAGAAATAAAAATGAAATGACTTTTTGGTGGTTTTACTTTTCTACAACATTTTAATTTGTCTACGTCCAATATAATCTTATGCTATTACATAAGAAAGACGAAACAGCAAATTAACAGTTTCATGTGTTTGTCATCAAAGAATATATTGTAGGTCTTTTCCCACTGTAATTTAAACATACTGTAAAGCAATGAAAAGGGAAAGCAAGTTTGTGTATTTCTACTAACCGAGTTTTAGTTATTTTCTAACCACATGTTTGTTTAATTCCTCTCAAATTAACTCTATAGTTAATAAATGAAGGTCATGCTAAGAAGTATCAGGACTAGGATCAAGGATGACTCAAGGTCATGTTGGGCCTTTCTAAACTATTTTAGGGAAAGTACATTTCCAAGCAGATTTAAATTCAGTACTTGGTCAAAATTCTTCTCTAGAGCTGGGAAAGAAGGCAGAGTACTTGGGAACAAACATTGTGAGAGATGGTGTCCAGAAAGACACAAATATGGCTGGGTTCAAATGCATATTGGATGCTCAGTTGGTTAAGCACCCATCTGACTCTTGATATTGGCTCAGGTGGTAATCTCCGGGTCGTGAGAACCCCTGGTCGCCTCTTCCCTGCCCCTTCCCGGCTTGAGTGTGCTCTCTCAAAATAAATAAATAAACTTAAAAAAATAAAGAAACAAAGGACATAAACCTTACACCTGGGATAGCATGTGAACAACAGATGGTCATCTAAATAAATATCTTCCTGATTTCTTGCTTTTCTAAATTTCATGTTCTATTTTCATAG